AAATATTTTGTCAAGGCTTCGCTTTAAAGGAAGCAACTTTCTGGCTCAGATTACTTGGCCCTTCTTACTGTTTATTCACTGTCTTTTTTTTTTCCTGCAAAGTCAGAGGAGACTTCTTTCAATACTTCAAATAAATAAAATATCCAGCTGCACAAACAGTATACATTCAGCTAGATTACTTTGGCTTCTTATGGAATATTTGACTTTCCTCAGAATCTAAATGATTAAAGAGAAGCTATCACATGAAACTTGATTGGGGAAAGGTTTCAAGTGGTTTTGCAGTTTTTCAAAGATGGCAGGAGAAGAAATAAAGACCACCGTAAGGAAAAGAACCAGGGCATTTCTAGAAATCAGGAAGTGGGGGAAAAAATTTCTCTGCACAAAGCACTCTTTGAGAAACTTTATAATGTTAGGCTTTGACTTCTCCTGACCTTCCAAGAGATAGATGCGATTTGAGATTACATAGAAAAAATTAGCTGATATGTCATGTCATCACTGGTATATAACATGCTTAGCATGACGTGGGGCAACCTGTTAAGAGAATCCCCATTGATAAAAGATTTTGGAAAGGATGGAAACTTGCTTCAGCACAGGTCTACAATCTGAGGGACCGTTCCATCATTATTTATTTATTTTTAAAATTGATTAGCCCCCATCTCATCACAGAGTAACTCTGGATGGATTGAAATCTTAAAAAGATAAAACTATACGAAAGCTAAAAGACATAAACAAAATACGGTGAAGATCCAAATACGGCACACTAATTAAAAGATGGGAAGGGCTGGAGTAGGATGGGAGGGAGGGAGGGAGGGAGGGAGGGAGGTGGGGTCTGTTGTTGATCTATCAACCATCCCCAATGCGAAACCCCTCCATTGAAGCCCCAAGCCGACTGACAGAGCCGGATTTTTAATCTTTTTTGGAAGATCAGGAGGGTTGAAGCCGACCTCACTCCAGAGGACAAAGTATTCCAAAGGGTAGGCACAACGGCTGAGAATCAGTGGAACAACCTGCCTCCAGAAGCAGTGAATGCTCCAACACTGGAAGTTTTTAAGAAGAGACTGGACAGCCATTTGTCCGAAATGGTGTAGGGTTTCCTGCCTGAGCAGGGGGTTGGACTAGATGACCTCCAAGGTTCCTTCCAACTTTACTATTATTATTATTATTATTATTATTATTATTATTATTAAGGCTCTCCTCCTGGAGCAATATTCTGACCAATCAAGTGTCTGCACATCCCTGTATTTTACAGGCAAAAGAAATCATTGGCTTAAAAGACTCTCTGAAAACCCCATTTTGAGATATACTATGGCTACCTAATGCACAGATGTTTAAAATTAAAGTACATCTTTGCCAAAGTCTCTTTGTTTGTTTGTTTGTTTGTTTGGCCAAAGTCTGTGCTTTGGGTGTCAGTATCAAGCATTGTGAGTTTTACAAACAAAATTAAAGTATTTACTGAACAAATATAACATGCCATAAATAAACACAAATGGGCTTATTAGAAATGTAAACATTGCCCCCTTTCTTTTTAAAGAAATAATTGTTTGTTTTCCATTTCAGCAACTGATTGTCGTCTTAAGACTCTATTTGCGAACTTTTAATACAAACAAAAAGCAAGCAACATACTTTTTTGTATATAACAAAAAAATTGAGCTGGAGAGTATATAAATGTAAGCCTTAAGTATTTGAAACTTACTCAATATTGTTAAGTGTGTGTTGAAGGGAGAAATAACACAATCTCTCTTGGGGGAAGATACCAACAAGAAATGGAAACTAAAAACAGAAATGCTAGATACAGAAATGGCACAGTAACTTTTAAGTGACCCAATGGGAAGCCATGGTACATGTCTATCCGCAAACTTCTGTGTCTTATCTGCTGTGTTTCTGCCTCATTGAACATATTCCCATCAAGTGGGAATATGTATCAGATGGGAAAGCCATGAAAATACAAGATACAATTACAATATACAATTAAAATTACAAGAGTACAGTTCCCCCCCCCCCGAAAAAACTGGATAATCCTATTTTTCAACTTTCTCAAAAGCAAATTCAAGCTTCTTTTCCTTAAGTTAGAAAAGTGTGGACAGACGCAAATGAGTATTTAATAACCCAGCTTACCTTATTTGTACTTTTATCAGATTTAAGACACCAAAGGATTAATAGAGGTGGTGCCTGTTTTATACACACAACAGGTTTCTGTTCTGATTTATTGTGGAACACAAGAAGCTTGAGGATCACACTTAGACGTTTTCATGCCTTCTAGCCTTCTTCCCAAATCACTTAGAATCAAAATAAACCATTTGGTTGAAATGGGGAACTTTTATTAGTTCAGTATGTTGGCATCTTGAGACAACTTAGAACGAAGACTTGAAACCACTTTAATGATGTTTTTTATGAGTTAAAGGGTTTTTCAAGGTTGCTGTGTCTGTTTAGATTCAACTTGTCTTGGTGTTTTGTTTTTTTTAAAAAAAAAACTGAATTAGTGGTTTGGGTCAGCCAGCGGATTTTGTTCAAGGATAACAACTGAAACATCTGCTGCTTGAAGACTCTCTTGATTATTTGGGCTATGGAATATCAAATCAAATCAAAATCTTTATTTTGGTCACTGACCAGCATAGCGTTATATAATGAGTTCAACAATTTGGGCAGAATGAAGCAGTCAAAATCAGAAGCTCTGAGCTTGAATATGAGCTCCATAAAACTAATAGAATTAAACAAAATATTTTAGCAAATACTGTAACTCTTCAAACTAAAATAACTATTATTGCTGCAATTCCCATTAGATCTATACTTAAGCTATAAAACTATTGTAGTGGTTAGATCTGAGATACATAGGCCAAGGACAAAGGATTAAAAATCTAAACTTTCCATAATTATAAAGCTGGAAGCACAATCACTTCTCAGCTGACTTGAGTTGATTTGGGCTATGGATCAACACTTTTGTGGTGCAGCAATTCATCCTCATCCTGATAAATTGTCTTCTGTGCAACTGGCTCTCTCTGGACAGCTGTTCCACATCTAGCACGCTCCAGGCATTGCAGCACACAAACCAAAGCGAACTAGGAAATACCGTTCACCCTAAACTAAAGCCGTTCAGAATAGAAAAGTCTGATCGTGAACATCAGTTCTTTGTTTCTGAGAATTTAGTCCACAGATAAATCATAATGTTTTACTTTTACTTCTCTTTGTTAATTAGATTTTGAGGAGAAAAGGCAAAGGCAGAACTGCAGGTAATCCTCGAGTTAACAACTATTCATTTTGCAACTGTTCAAAGTTAGAACAGCACTGAAAAAGGGATTTACAACTAGTCCTTACGCTTACAACCTTTATCTCTATGGGCACATGATCAAAATGGCAACCAGCGTGTATTTACAAGAGCTTAGCTTCAAACAAGCAAAGACCCTGAGGAAAGCCAGAGTTGCTTAACAAGTGCACGATTCACTTAACAACTGCAGTGAATCACTTAACAAAAACAAAACTCACTTAACAACCATCCCAGTTGTGGTTGTAAGTCAAGGATTACCTGTATCTGCCATTCAGATATTTAAAAAAAATTCACAAAATAATTCACACCCAGTCCCCAATGCTTGTCCCACTAGATCTGGCAAATGGGTCTGCTCCAAGCCCTAGTGGTGAATAGGATCACCTAGTGAGATCCATAAAGTTATCTTCTCTTCGTGCCTTACCCCCCCCCCCCGAGAGATATACAGTGCCAATCCTGTAGACTTCTGGGAGACTGAGAAGTCCACAAGTCCTAAACTTATCAAGGTTGCAGACCCCTGCCCTAAATCTTCCTGCAGGCATTGGGGCAAGGATATTGATAGATCGTGGTGTGGAGGTGGTTTGTTTGATGAGTTAATGGGCCTTTTGGATTTGTTGAGTTGAAACCTCGTTTCTTTTAAATAAGATCTTACAGTTGGATTTACTCTTTTTCACGTTCACTATCCAGAGTTCCTAGGCTTACATAAATGTGTTAAATAAACAGCGTGCAAAAATATACCAGTAGAGAAAAAAGAAAAACCACCCAGCAATTGGGATCATGTGCACATTTCTTTCACACTAACTGATGATTAAACACTGTAGTACAAATCTTGCCAGCTACCAGCTGTACAGAACCAAAGTCATATGTATGTTGCAAAAGAAATAAATAAGAAATCAGAGATTGTTATCAGTCAGCTTTCAAATCCCTGTAATTTCCCTTATTTCTTCTATTCATTTCTAAAAATCATATCACTTGCCAATGGTCAGAATGGGTTTTTTCCCTTCCATGATTATACATTATAATTCTGCAATAGTCCCAGTATTATATTCCCATTCATTTAAAGAGAGATAGCACACAACACATCTGTTAAAACTCAACCACCACTATTGGCTGTGCACTGAATTAGGAAGCGTAACCCAATCAGCTCAGATTTCTATCCTTTCTTAATGCAAAAGATTTAAAAATTCAGTTTGCTGGAACATCTGCTAGGCTCTTTCAGCCTTAACACATGATACTTTATTTACTCTCCTATTTGACAATGCCAACATTTTATTCTAAGGCAGAACTGTGGCAAACATACAACTCCTAAATTTAGACATCAATGAGGTGCTATAGAATTAATCATTCATACAGTATATTTCAAGCTTACATTCATTTTTTATATAGAGGTCAATATTTCTTTTTATACTTGTCAATGTAACCCATTTTTATTGGTATTTTCCCCCTAAACATGTTGCAAACTATAGCTCTGATTTCTCTCAGATTTCAACTGTAGCAGGGACTCATATTCAGACATACAACACGCAGAGCCAAACTACATGACTCGGAAAACGCACAAGAGTTTGTCAACCCAAACAATCAAGGGATGCAGCCTATTTTAACCACAAGGGCCACAATTATATCAGTGGTCAAGATCATCAAATTTAAAAATGGTTGAAAATGCAGTAGGTATGTGAATTTCTAAAAAGCCATGTTGATTGAATTTCAATCAATCAACATGTATAAAATATCATGCACTTACCAGTGACTTGCTGAAAGGCCGAGCCAGAGTAAACAGGAGGGTGTACAACCACCAGTTGTGATGAAGGGATGTGTAGATCATATTTCCAGGATGCAATGCATTGGAGATAACTCCATGGGGGGAAAGCCGACGATTCAGTTCATTTGATAGAAGAATATTGCAAAGCTTAGATTTATTGTAGGCCAACATAGCCCAATAATCTTTCTTTGATGGTGACAGCAAGTTGAAGTCAAGTTTTCCTGAGTTCTCTTTAATATTTGTGAACCTTCAAAGCCAGAACAAACAAAAAAATTGTATGAGTGTCGCAATAAGGAAGGAAGGAAGGAAGGAAGGAAGGAAGGAAGGAAGGAAGGAAGGAAGGAAGGAAGGAAGGAAGGAAGGAAGTATTCCAAGTGTGGCCTTACTAACGCATTGTAAAGTGATATTAATACTTCATGTGATCTTGATTCTATCCCTCTGTTAATGCAGCCCAGCAATGTGTTGGCTTTTTTGGCAGCTGCAGCACACGGCTGGCTCATATTTAAGTGATTGTCCACTAGGACTCCGAGGTCCCTCTCACAGTTACTACTATTGAGCAAGGTACCACCTATAATGTACCTGTACATTTGGTTTTTCCTGCCTAAATGTAGAACCTCACTTTTTTCACCATTGAATTTCATTTTGTTAGATAGCGCCCAGTGTTCAAGTCTGTCCAGATCCTTCTGTATCTTAAGCCTGTCTTCTGGAGTGTTGGCTATTCCTGCCAGCTTGGTGTCGTCTGCAAATTTGATGAGTTCCCCATCTATCCCCTCGTCCAGATCGTTGATGAAGATGTTGAAGAGCCCAGGGCCCAGAATAGAGCCCTGGGGCACCCCACTACACACTTCCCTCCATGTAGATGTGGTTCCATTCCTCACTTCATCTTTGCAGGCCCAGGCTATTTGCTGATATTCTGCCTTAGTTAGGTGTCTCTCTTTCCACTTTTTATACTTGTGCTTTTTATCTTGCCATACACCATTGTGATTCAAAACAGTGAACACAGGATTAAAAGCAACAGAACAAAAATATTAATACATATACATATAAAACAATTACAGACAGGACACTGGAAATAGAACAGAATGAACTTCAGTCTCTTATTTCCAAAATAACCTTTCCAACAAGGACAGGACATTTTTTCCTAGTCCTCAGAAAATAATGAAGGATGTGTCTGTCTGTCTGTCTCTCTCTGTGTGTGTGTGTGTGCGTGTGTGAGAAAGAGAGAGAGAGAGAGAGAGAGAGAGAGAGAGAGAGAGAGAGAGAGAGAGAGAGAGAGAATGAGAATAGTAAATAATTGCAATTAGCAAGCACTGTAATTGGGGCAAAAGATTTATGTGTTTCCCTTCTTCCCAAGTCCAAGCTGAGTAATAGGACAACTTTAGCCATTGATCTTCTCCTCTTTCCGCTTTCCAGTGCACTAGCCTTCCACACTCTGGAATCTAAGTGCTCAAATAACTACAGATGAGACTTGCTGCTTCTCAGCATTGTCTTAGATTAAAAATTGATGGTTTAAAAAGGGGCAGTAATCGAGGTGATTCGCCATCAATAGTTTTTAAGTTATAAAAGAAAATTGTGAACAAAGCTAGAAGGAGTGGTGGCAGAGTCTAATGTTTTTAAGTGTTTTCAGTTTGGTCTGACAGTCACTAAACACCGGCTGTTTGTTTGTTGGATGTTATTCTAACAAAGCAGCAAACCATGGAAATAGTAGCTGGATTCTTGTACATACCTACAAGCATACATGTACACATTTGATTTGCATAGGAGTAGGAAAAAAAATGAAAAATATTTAATGGGAGGGAGGGAGGGAGGGAGGGAGGGAGGAACTGGTGTAGTCTGCTCTCCAAACTGTCTTCTCTAGAGCCAGGCGTTAAGACACAACATGCTACGCTGTGACAGATAATCCTGCTTTGAAGTGCTGTAACGCTTCCTAATACATTGATGAACTTTCACAATTCATGATTTGTGAATTGGGGGCAGTGTGCTGACATTGTAAACAGCCCAGAGAGTCCTGAAAAGTATTGTGGGGCGGGTATATAAGTCTAAATGCTATCGCAATTGCTATATTCCTGAATGCACAGAACTCCCAAACATTCTGGATCTTTGTTGGGCTTTCAAAAATGGCTCTACAAACTTATTCCAGTTCTCAGTTGGATGAACAGGAAACATGTTCCTTTTCCTTTCTTCCATTCTCTCAACTTCTGAAAAAGTGATTCTGAAAATAGCCAGAGCGAGCTTATATCCCTTCAGCTATTCCAATTCTCATCAGTCTTACCAAGCACAGCCAATACTTACAGAGGAAGGGAACTGAAGTCCAAAAATAGGTATAAAGAAGTGAGGCTGGATTAAGTTGATGGCCTTTTAGATTAAGAGTAGGGTAGGGTAGGGTAGGGTAGGGTAGGGTAGGGTAGGGTAGGGTAGAGTAGAGTAGAGTAGAGTAGAGTAGAGTAGAGTAGAATAGAATAGAATAACAGAGTTGGAAGGGACATTGGAGGTCTTCTAGTCTAACCCCCTGCTCAGGCAGGAAACCCTATATTTTAAGTTTCTTAAAAACTTCTAGTGTTGGAATTAGATTTATAAACAAACCAACAACAAATATTCCCACTTAGTCTAATATAATGCTTAGGAGAATTGGAATTATTTTGCATAGCAGGAAAAAAATAAATGATTGACACTGGCTTGGGTATTTTCAAATAGATTTGCAAATGTATGTGATAAGACGTAGCAGCTAGTGAACTCGTCCTGCTAATTTCTCACGGATATGGTAAAACTCGCGGCCATTTTCAATGATCATATTTAAACATCTAATTTAATGCATGACAAACCCTGAGAAATGGAGAGGCAATTAGTGGTTGGATCAGGAGACACACCAATTACATACTGGGGTGGGGGGCAGGTTTTCCAGAAACCCTGGCTGATCTTGTGTAAGTAAGGAGAGACAATATTTTGTTTGTTCGTTTTCAGCCTTGATCTCCAATCGAGCTTTAAAGTTCTGCAAACAGAGAAATTAAAGCTATTAATGCTATCAAAGTGATGGGCCGAGAAAAAGTCCTCTCCAAAGCAAAGAAGGAAAACATGAAAAATTGCTGGAATTCAATGATAGCATAACAAAACAAGCCACTGACAATTCCATGTAATCACCATTAAATTACAGCTCATGTATATATATATATCCCATCATACCTTCCCCATTCACGAGATTTAATTCTTGTGCTAAATGTCTATGGAGATTCTCAGTCATCCAGGCTATGGGTGTCTCAAAGGTGTTTCTCCCCCACCCCCCAAAAAAGGCAACTGGACTTTGTTTTTTCCTTGAAGATGTATCGCTTCTCATCCAGGAAGCCTCATCAGTTTGGGCAGGATGGGGGGTGGGGGTGGGGGGGTGATGGAAGGATTAGATCTTACAACATTCAGGGGAGCTAGAAGGATTATATTTCTTTGCATGTTTTTAGACCTAAACTCATATTTCTGGAGCTAGTCCAACTGGCCTGCCTTGCAATGGAACTCCACTGCTTGCTTTCACATACTTGAAACACAGAAACACAGAAAAACGTGGCACAATTTATAAAGGTAAGGGCATACAGGACTTTGTTGATGCTGAGATGGTTCTCACCTAATTGACATTTCACGTCGTCACTCTGGGCAGGATTGATATAGGCATTTTGCCCTGCTTCCTTTCATTTCAGCCATCATCAATTTAAAATGGCTAAAGTAAATCTTTTGGCGATGTTGTCCTTTCTATCATGAGTCCTTATACTGGGGTTAATAAAAGGAGTCAGCCTAACTCTGGGTCATTCCTTGTCTGCTAAATCCCAGGAGCTACTGTACATCTTAGGAAAAGTAATAAAAAAGAAAGAAAGAAAGAAAGAAAGAAAGAAAGAAAGAAAGAAAGAAAGAAAGAAAGAAAGAGAGAGAGAGAAAAGAGAAGCATGTTTCCCACTGCATAGTTGAAACATGAAGAAGAGGGAAAATGAGCATATTCTAGATATTCCTAGCCAAAACGTTTTTGTAGCACAGAAGAAAGGGTTTTATTTTTATTTTAGGAACAAAAAACATTGCTAGGTTTTCTTACTTTGGGAGAGACAGACAGACAGACAGCATAAGCAGGAGCTTTGATATTGTTAGGCATTTTGAGCAGGATTTTTCAAGGATGGTGGGCTTTGCTAAGAAGGTGGCTAGAAGACAGGAGTTAGTCAACCACACTTTTGAGAGAGAGAGAGAGAGAGAGAGAGAGAGAGAGAGAGAGAGAGAGAGAGAGAGAGAGAGAGAGAGAGAGAGAGAATCACAAATGTGTATTTAATCTAAAGGTAATTGCATTAGCTTCCAATTAGAGTAAAGGTGAATTCTTCCTGGCACGGTACTGAAGATGTTGAATGACAAATCAATAAAAGTCACACCATTCAGATTTAATCAATTATTGTTTCATCAGCTGGCAGAAGGAAAGCCTTCCTCTGCTTCAGTATGAAGACTAAGGCACAATCTAGTCATAGAACTTGGATCTTCGGTCCAATTCGCCTACTTTCCAGGAAGCATCTGAATATTTTATTTATTTACTCTGGCACACAAGATCCCAAGAACCGTAGCAGTGAGCAAAAAGCATCTTTCCCAGGACAGCCTATAGCATTAATCTGTAATGGTCTCTGCCATTTGTGGAAGAAGAAAACCATGTGGCATCTATAGGCCTTGAGAGGACAATCTTAGTGCCATTCCCATTTCACTGTCATTTTTAATGCATTGGGAAAGACAAAGATCAATCAGATGTGATCAATCAAACATTAAATTCAATGTATGTTCAGGTTCCTCCTACCCTGAAGCCCCAGCAGACTACTCAAAATGCCACATGAAAGAAAGCAAATCCTTTTCATCTATTTCTTTTTAACAACGCTGTGAAGTAAAGTTGAGTTGTGCGAATTATTTTGTACTATGGCTTCCCAACTTCCTTGTCATTGACTAAAATAATTCATATTGGTAGAAGAAGTTCAACACATCCCAAAAAGGCCAATTTGGCCATCCTTTCACTGCACTATGAAATAGTTCTTTTCTATCACAACTTTATTTTAAACACTATGCACTGGCTTTGGGTTAAGATGGTTAAACGGGATCTTTTCAGATGGAGGGATATCTAGTCATGGTAACTGCTTTATGGAAGCTTGTTATTGTATGAAATTGTAGTTTTAATTTTGGGAGCTCCCCAGACATTGAGAGTCAGGCAACCTCAAAATTTAACATTGCATTAAAATATTTTTTTTTCCCACTTAGGAACTGACTCAAACTATTGTTCCAGAGCAACTAGGGGAAAAAGTAAGAAATAAAATCAAAACACTAAACTCTCAGGAAAAAGGTTCAACTGCTTTTCAAAAAAGAGTGACTACATTCCTTCGGCACTAACCTGTGTGATTCAGAAGAGACCATCACAACTCTTGCAGGAGCTGAGCGGCAAAGAACATCTTTGAGGAGCTGAATGAGATAAAAGTGTCCCAAATGATTCACCTGGAAGGTCCTCTCCAGGCCGTCTTCAGTTAATTGCCAAGGAAGACCAAACACAGCAGCATTGCAGACTAGCACGTGGAGAGCTCTGTAAACACAAATGTGGACATGGTATATTTAATTAGAGCAATCTTCAGAAAAATGGTGGCCTTCAGATGAGTTGTGCCCTTATTTCTAGCCAATTAAACAGCCTCAGTGCCATTTTGAAAAACCATGCCTCATAATAGCTGTCACAGAGCTACAATGTTGACAGATCTGTCCCATGTTCTTATACAGAAAAATATAGAGAGGAAAATCCTTCTGCATCTCTATCTCAAGAAACATCACAACACAGTGGAGCAAACTCGGTGAATATTTTACAAATATGAGATAGTTATTTGCTACTAAAACTTCCAGATCCCACTGAATAGGAACTGCTATTGACTCAGCCTTCAATCGTTCAGCAAAATGAAGACCCAAATTGTTGGGGCAATATGCTGACTCTGCAAACTGCTTAGAGAGGGCTGTAAAGCACTGTGAAGCAGTATATAAGTCTAAGTGCTATTGCTAAGTGCTAAATAGCCTGTGGTCCAAATCTTCAGCTATCATAATGTATATTACTTGATCAGTATGTCACTTGTTTCATACTCTACATCTGTGTTTCCCATCCTTGGTGACTTCCAGATCTGTGAACTTTAAATCCCAAGATTCTCAACAATGGCCTTCCCAATGATGAAATTCTGGGTATTGAAACGCACACATTTCTCTTCTACAGAGGTAAACACTGATCTGCATTTTAGCAGCACTCAAAAGAAAACCATGAATTACATTCATAAGTTACATGACTGAACTCCAGAAGCAAAAGTTATATTGAATAAGAAACATTACTTCATAAATAAACATGCTTAAAGTCCAGAATTAAGAAGTTTTCTTCACTTCTATTCAAAAACAATGACAAATGTATAATCATGTATATTAGTCCAAAGATTCATATCCACTTTTTTTAAAAAAAAACTTTTTTAAAAAAACAAGTTATAGCATGTAGTGCTTTTAATCAACGTATTTGTTAAAAAATTCCATTATATCGATTGTTATTGCACTTTGTAATATTCTTCATGGTTTTATTATTTTAAATTAAAATTTTAATTAAAATACTGTACACACAGACCCTTTAAAAATTCTCTCATTAGCCATAAAAGCTATAAAACTGCAAAATGCTTACGGCTTTATTTGCAGCAAAAGATACTATAGCTGTACATATTAAATCATAAATATTTTACATGCTTATCTTCCCAACATGCCCCTCATGGCTGGTTCTACCAAAGGATAAGACTTTTTAACTCAACTAGAACCAAATGTACCTTGAACTCTGCTTTCATGTGGGTTGAGATCGTTTGGCCAAGGAATTGTAGTTGCACCACATCTGGGAGGCACCACTGTCTATCAAGCATGGTTTCTCCTTTTAAGACCACAACTACAATGCCCCAAACTACTAGTGGAACTACTAGTAGATCGAGGAACCTGGGAGTTACTTTTTTTTTAACCCGTGAAGTCCAGAATATGTGTGTCTTAATTTGAGAACACCAAAAAAGGGAGGGAATGTTCAGCAATTTGACTGACCTTTGTGAAACTAAGGCACAAAAAATTCTATCTCACTGAAAAGTAGCCTTTGAAAAACATTCAGCTTCTGTGCAGTTACGATTGTTCAACTCTAAACTTAGACAGTGCCATTAAGAAGCTACTCCAGTAAGACCTGGAAGACCTTCAGGAGACATAAAGCCAAGAATTATATGTGATACTGGGAACAGAGAGGAAAGCAAAGCAGAAATATTCTATGAGGTTCCTTGCTATAAATATTTTTCTTGATTTGAGCCAGTTCGCCCCAGCCCGATTTAAAAAGCAGCTCTAACCCACGATCTCTTGTTGGAAGCAACCATCTGATCTCAAGCTTTTTTGTGATGTTTGAGTATTGAATCTGCTCATGACATTCTGACCTCCAAACTAGCTGAAAACCTTGACTTGGATCTTGGAACTGTGAACTGTATTTGAACTATTCTCTGTGCGCTCCTATTAAAAGCAAAAAATTCACTCAAGCTTCTTTCAGAAACTCTGTTTAGCTTGCATTCTTTGTCTGCTGTTATATCCTTGACTTTGAATAAAGTGCTAATTTCTATAGCAACTATGTACACATGTATCTGAAACCAGAAGCAGAACAGAAAGTGTGTACAGAGTCATAAGCAAAACAGACCACTGGGAATTCAGAAGAAGATAGTTACATCCTTAGGGAAACACCTGCATTTGCAGAAGAGAGAAATAGAAAGAAATCTTCTTAAAGAAGGCAACTCAAGCAACCATTTGAACTTGCTGCTTAAAACAACGATATGTGATAATCTGTGAAAAGCTGAGAACTATTTATTTCCTCAAAGGTTTCTGCTAAGTATGTGTATATCCCCATGGAAGACACTTCGCCTGGGACTGCTTTGCAATGGAGCAGTTCCTCTGTGTGAGATTGATCTGCTGCACATCAACTGGGTAGGTGTTTCTGCCTTCTACTATTGTGAGAAAAGCCGTAAATTTGTTCCTATTACAAATGTTATAAACCTCTATAAAGTCTGATCAGATAATCTAGACAAGTTTGCCTGAAGCACCAATGAAAACTTGGTTAAACAAGGTGGCCAGATAAATCCAGAAGAGCTTTCAGTTGTATGCTTTCTGTTGCTTTTAGTGTCACCCAATGGAGGAAACTGCACAATACAAATTGTATTTATAAAATTTAATAACTCACCCTTTGGTTTAATTAGATATTCTGGCTCACAATTATAAGATACAATATAAAAACATAGTGCAGTAACTAAAACAGCCAAGGCTATTAAAACAAGCAGAAATTGAAATTTAGCACATTTGTACTTTAGAGATTATCATAGATATTTTTTATCTTTGCATTTTAAAGGGTGGAGTCTGCCTCACTGCTGCAAGAATTGTGCATGTTTTTTTCTTCATTTTTAATGTGAATTTGTATTTCTTTTATCTTTTTCCATGCAGAATAGGGATTGGAAGAATTCTAAAATCTTCAAACCAATTGTAATACATTTTAATTCAGAATATTTCTGAAAAAAAAATCCTGGCAGTCAAATATTGCTGAAATAAAGTAATCTATCTCACATTCATTAAGCAACATTAATTTCATACTATATACATACACACATTTTACGTGTACACAACAGCCATTAACTTTTCTACTAATATCCTCATTCACATTACATTCAAACCATTCTGAATCTAACCATTGTTCCATAATCCACCCAAATTTAAGCTACATCTTTCCAAAGCTTATTTGCTGTGTCCATTGAAACTTAAATCCTATGAGGAATTCTATATATGAAGTACAGAAATCCTGTATATGTTGGCTTCTCCTGGGTGTAAAATGTGTGGCTTTTAAATTAGCTTGCTGCAATACATGAGTTTTGTTCTGATCCAGCAGAATCCTTCCTCTGCTCTAATGGCCATAATGATCACACCATTTTAGACTTGTGATGCTTCGTGCTCTGCTATGTAATTATCTCCAACAAAACTCTTGGCATGAATCCTGAATATATTTTCTGAGGTCAAGAAGAGGTAGCATGAGAAATTCCCCTGCCAAGTAACCTTCAATTGCCAGAGATGAAGGTATTAATATTTTGAACCTCTGTCCTTCTAGCGGGACACAACGCTACTACTTCACCGTTTAAAGCTCTAGCACTGACACTGTCTTATCTTGGGTCTTCTTTAGTGTGACAAACATCAGACAAGAACAAAACTATTAGCATAATGCCCAGGGAAAAGAGTCTATATAAATTGACAAAGAAGCATTATATTGCAACAAAAATTCATCTAGTAAGTTTAATGCAAATAAATGGAATTAATCAGGTGTGCAGATAGTCCTTGACTTACAACCATTTGTTTAGTGCCTTGTTCAAAGTTAGAGTAGCACTGAAAAATGTGACTTATGACTATTTTTCACACATACGATGGTTTGCAGCATCCCTATGATCACATGACTGAAATTCAGATTGCTTGGCAACTGGCATGTACTTATGACGGTTGCAGTGTCCCGGATTCATGTGATCACCTTTTGCAACCTTCTGATCAGGCAAAATCAACGGGGGAGCCAGATTCACTCAACAGACACGTTCCTAACTTAACAACTGCAGTGGTTCACTTAAAAAATGTGGCAAGAAAGGTCATAAAATGAAGGGGGGGGGAACTAACAACTGTCTTGCTTAGCAACAGTAAGTTTGAGCTCAGTTGTGTTTGTATGTTGAGGATTATCTGTATTTCCTTAAACAATCAACAACACAACGTTAGGTGTCCTGACTCCCAATCCTTAAAAAGCTCCTCAATCACTGTGAGCAATTTGCTAAGAATGAAATAAAAATATGTTTTTGCCTGCTATTATTGAAGAGGCAACTCCAATTTGTTGCCCCCCCCCCCCGGAATAGTAGATACTCAGTCATATGTTATTTATGCACACTGAAAAAGGTCCTTTACCACTCTCTCCACTGAATCATTTGCTTGTTGGTTAAGGCTCCTTCATTAAGCTGCTATTCAACCAAGGGAGCTATTTGTCATTCTTCAACTTGGAACATTCCTAGTCTTAGGTATCAGCTGGAATGACTGATTTGGCATATTTAGCATTTAAGGAACAGTCTGTGGGAGCTCATTAGAATGCACACAAGGCAATCTTTTTTTTTTTTTTTAAACATGGATGAAATTAAGCCCTTCTTCCCCTGGGCAAAAGATCTGGGTCAAAACCAGGCAGCAGTAGTCTTTTTTTCACATTCAGATCCAGCAGAGCATTTTCCAAAAAATTTCCCAGACTGGAAAAATCTCAAACTCTGCACAGTCCACATCTTTGTTCATGTCCAATCTGTGCCTCATTTTATCTTATTTGTTGGCTTTGATCTGTACCTGGGTCTTCTATTTCTTGTACTGGAAGCACCATGGGTGAAGCTGCCCAAGGCAAATACAATTTAAGCTCAACCTAGAGACGTGGACCATTGGCAAGGAACTAAATCTTTACTACAGTTCAGGAGCTATGGCCTTTCCAGCCTGGTGACAGCAACTGAGCAGGTGTTTGGAGGCCAAGACAGAATAGATTCTCTCTTTCCAAACCAACATGCTCTTTTCCTGCATCTCCCTTTACAAAAGAGGTTTTGGTTCTAATTTTTATGCATGCTGTAGGTATTAACTGCATATGTATTTCTTCAACATTCTTGATCTGAGAATCATTTACCAGTAAAGAACAGGGATTCAAAAGTTGTTATTTTGACCATTCCCATCTCAAACAACCCAAACCAAGAAATGTATTTAATATTACTTTTCATTCACCATGGTTTCTTCCAAAAGATCTTGAGCTTTTGCTTGGAGAGATATTGTATTCCTCAAAACAGCCACCTCTTAAATCTAGAACCCAGCTTTCCTCATCTGTTCTAGCATATGTTTAGACTGCTATGTTATTCCTTCTGACCATTTTTTTCTGATATGTATTGGGTTGCTGCTAGCAGTCAGTTGATCCTGTCTGCCATTGGAACCCATCCAAATTCAGAATAGAAAATGGCATTTTGCATTTTATGTATATTCCTAACATGACTGTGCCTATACAGTATGACAAAAATACTCAGTCCCATATATCATAGTCACTGCTTTCCTTAACCCTCATAGGTTTCTTTTTCCCATGTCAAGTTGTCATAACTCTCAATGGCATTCACACTTTCTGTGATTCACATTTATAATTACTGGTCTTAAAACAATATATTTATTGGAGTTACACAGAGGGAAGAGAGAACAAAAAAATGTATTTATTTTATTTATCAAATTTAGATACTGTACCACCCACCTCACTCATAGCCTGTGAATTTGTAAATCTCACTCTCTGACTCTGTAAATTATGCCCCTTAATAATAAACAAAAGTATTAAAACTACTTAGCTCATAAATCTCATTTGAAGCACACAGACCATATTATTCAAGAGAGAGGGAGAGAGAGAGAGAGAGAGAGAGATGTATATTGCAATAGCCTCTCATCTATGGTAACTTTGATTCAGCAACAGCAATGCAAACTCTACTAATATAATAAGAACAAAGTAATTGTTCCTAAGTACTTACAGATTCTTAGATTTGAAGGTTTCAGCAAATTCCCATATACTTTGAAGAGATGCAAGATCTAAGGTGATTGCTTCTACCTTGGCTTTGTGCTAAAATGAGTAAAAGTTAAAAGTTCAAAAGATCAACATACTTATTCCACAGTATCATCCAATAACAAACATGCAACAACATATGTTTAAATACTCTTATTTAATCATAGTGGTACAGATTACAACACTTCAAAATATGTAGATTGTTTAAAGAAAGGTTTTTTTTATGCTGAGGGTGCATGCAGCCAAAGTGAATCCTGAAAGAGATATTCAAATATCTCAACGTATTTCCAGATAAACCAAAAGGTTGACCCAAAAGTTTGCTAGATCTTTTTTTAAGTTCTTATCACCATTACCAGCAGAATAAATAAAACCGAACTACCTGAGCAGTATTTTTTCTTTTTTAAAAAAATCAAACTGTTCATAAATGTATTGGCCTTTTCTGCTAACAAACATAACTCTTACAAAACTCGCTAAAAGTACCTTAAAATTACAATGTTATCCAAAGTTGATCAGTTAAAATCTGCTAGGCTCAATGAGTTAGGCAAAATCTACTATGAATGATTATATTAAATTTTAGGAACAGAAAAGTATTTAAGTAATTTAAATCAATATAGAAAAATATCCAGTTCAGAGGCTACAATCATCAGATTTTGGGGGGGGGGATTAGACATTTTAAAGGAAGAATATAAAAGTAAAGATTTGCCCCGTCCAGTTATGTCCGGTTCTAAGGGGAGATCAACCCTGACTGCTCTTTAAAAGGCCAGATCCTGAAGTTGAAACTCAAGTACTTTGACCACCTAATGAGAAGGAAGGACTCACTGGAGAAGAGCCTGATGCTGGGAAAGATTGAAGGCAATAGAAGAAGGGAACGACAGAGAATGAGATGGCTGAATGGAGTCACTGAAGAAGTAGGCGTGAGCTTAAATGGACTCCAGAAGATGGCAGAGGACAGGAAGGCCTGGAGGAACGTTGTCCATGGGGTCGCGATGGGTCGAACACGACTTTGCAACTAACAACAACAACAACTCATCTCTGTTTCTTAGCCAAGGGAACCAGCTTTGTCCAAAGATCCTTTCTGTGGTCAAGTGGCCGGCATATGCTGAGGTACACTGAACACTGTTGCTGTCCCACCAAAGTGATACCTATTTATCTACTTGCAATTTGTATGCTTTTGAACTTCTAGGTGGGCAGGAGCTGGGGCAAATAATAGGAGCTCACCCCATTGTGTAGCACTCAGATCTCTAATCCCAGCTGTCAGTTTTCCAGCTGACAAGCTTAACATCTATAACCGCTGAGCCATCACACCCCCAGAAAAGAAAGAATATAAACAAACACAATGAAAAGTAAGAAAGTGAAATTTAAATGAGTAAACAAGGGATCTGAATATGTCATGGGAATTACAGTTTTCCAATACCTAACTAATTACATAACAATAGAATGTATTTCTTGTTTTGCTTTGTTTTTTTAAAAAAATCCTAAAAATAACTATAAAGCCCCGAGCTAAAAAAAAAAAAAAAAAAAAAAGATCAGGAACACATACAAAATCATCAACCAGAATTATAATAAATTGAACTGATTCTGAGAATTTACTCTGATTTTCCCATGAAGTTAAAATATAGAGTCTATACGTTGAAAAAAGAATTTAAATGAGGTAAAAATCAATTCATTAACTTACTGTCCAGGCATTTTAAAAATCAACCTTTCCAAAATATGTTCCCAAACATATAGTATCCTTGCAGTAGTTAGCATATGCAAAGCTAATTCAGCATAATTTAAAGTAATGAATGGTTTATCAAATTTAATAAAACTGTTGTAGTTTAAATTCAGCTGTTAAGATTTATTTCATTCTACTGTGCATTAGTTTCCAGGATTGTTGTGCTTTACAATATTGCTACCAAATATTAAAAAATAATACAACATTACATTTTCAGCAATTTTTAGAGAATGAATTGTTCATTTTAGCAAACGGTATTGGAGTAATATACCAGTAATAAAATATCTTATACCAATTTTGTCTAAATATAATGTTCAGAGTAAACGTAATGTTCTTTTTCCATTGTAATTTCCTCTGCTACACCTTTATCACTGCATTCAAATACTGTACTTTTGTAATCATACATTCTTTTGCTTGTTTAGACTCTGAATCATACTTCTCCAGCCATTTATAAGTAAGTCCCAGCAAATATTCTGAATTATGTTTGACAAGGTTTTCTTTAATTCAATGATGCTTCTTACCATTCCTCTTTTATCTGTGCAATTATTTTAAAGTTAGTCTATCCATCTTGAAACCTGTCACGTAGACTAGACCATTGTGAAGAATCTCAAAAGATTTCATCATCTTGCTAATAATTAAATTTTGCAATTGGAACTCATTATGAATTTTCCACTGAACCAATTTCTGGAATTTACTTCCTCATAAAAGTAGACGATGGGGTGATAGGAGAGACATCTTATTATTTCCCTATACTTGACCTAGGCCCGTGGTGGCGAACCTGTGGCACACGTGCTAAACGTGGCCTCTCTGTGGGCACACGCGGAATTGCCCCAGTGCTAGGCCTTCAGCTGAGTTTTATAAAACCTTTTCGCTTTAAGGCTCCCCCGCCATGTGCAAAAAAAAAGAAAAAAAAGGTTCAATGAACCAATTTCCAGTACTTGAGGGAGGGGGGCGGGAAATCTCACAAAGTTAGAATTGATTGAACTTTTTAGTCCCACCCAGTCTGCCGTTACCAGCACAGACACATGGAATATTCCTCCAATGAGATTTTCCCATGTATTTTACCAGGAAACATAGATAGGACAGACTAGAAAAGTCAGTGCCCTCCTAACCATACCCAAGCACTCCGAATTTGTTGGTGATGTCCATTTTGCTCTATGAGTTCATGGCGACCTAACCCTAACCCTAAATGGAATTTTCTTCCAATGGGATTTTCCCATGTATTTTACCAGGAAACAAAGATAGGACAGGTTAGAAAAGTAAATGTCCCCCTAACCATACCAAACCACTCTGAATTTGTTTGTGATGTCCATTTTGCTCTATGAGTTCATGGCGACCTAACCCTAACCCTAAGTGGAATTTTCCTCCAATGGGATTTTCCCATGTATTTTACCAGGAAACATAGATACGGCAGGCTAGAAAAGTAAGTATCCTCCTAACCATACCCAAGCACTAAGAATTTGTTTGTGATGTCCATTTTGCTCTATGAGTTCATGGCGACCTAACCCTAACCCTAAGTGGAATTTTCCTCCAATGGGATTTTCCCATGTATTTTACCAGGAAACATAGATAGGACAGGCTAGAAAAGTAAGTGTCCCCCTAACCATACCAAACCACTCCGAATTTGTTTGTGATGTCCATTTTGCTCTATGAGTTCATAGTGACCTAACCCTAACCCTAAGTGGAATTTTCCTCCAATGGGATTTTCCCATGTATTTTACCAGGAAACATAGACAGGGCAGGCTAGAAAAGTAAGTGCCCTCCTAACCATACCCAAGCACTCCGAATTTGTTCGTGATGTCCATTTTGCTCTATGAGTTCATGGCGACCTAACCCTAACCCTAAGTGGAATTTTCTTCCAATGGGATTTTCCCATGTATTTTACCAGGAAACAAAGATAGGACAGGTTAGAAAAGTAAGTGTCCCCCTAACCATAACAAACCACTCCGAATTTGTTTGTGATGTCCATTTTGCTCTATGAGTTCATGGCGACCTAACCCTAACCCTAAGTGGAATTTTCCTCCAATGGGATTTTCCCATGTATTTTACCAGGAAACATAGACAGGGCAGGCTAGAAAAGTAAGTGCCCTCCTAACCATACCCAAGCACTCCGAATTTGTTCGTGATCTCCATTTTGCTCTATAAGTTCATGGCGACCTAACCCTAACCCTCAATGGAATTTTCTTCCAATGGGATTTTCCCACGTATTTTACCAGGAAACAAAGATAGGACAGGTTAGAAAAGTAAATGTCCCCCTAACCATACCAAACCACTCTGAATTTGTTTGTGATGTCCATTTTGCTCTATGAGTTCATGGCGACCTAACCCTAACCCTAAGTGGAATTTTCCTCCAATGGGATTTTCCCATGTATTTTACCAGGAAACATACATAGGGCAGACTAGAAAAGTCAGTGTCCCCCTAACCATACCAAACCACTACGAATTTGTTTGTGATGTCCATTTTGCTCTATGAGTTCATGGCGACCTAACCCTAACCCTAAGTGGAATTTTCCTCCAATGGGATTTTCCCATGTATTTTACCAGGAAACATACATAGGGCAGACTAGAAAAGTCAGTGTCCCCCTAACCATACCAAACCACTCCGAATTTGTTCGTGATGTCCATTTTGCTCTATGAGTTCATTGCAACCTAACCCTAACCCTAAGTGGAATTTTCCTCCAATGGGATTTTCCCATGTATTTTACCAGGAAACAAAGATAGGACAGGTTAGAAAAGTAAGTGTCCCCCTAACCATATCAAACCACTCCGAATTTGTTTGTGATGTCCATTTTGCTCTTCGAGTTCATGGTGACCTAACCCTAACCCTAAGTGGAATTTTCCTCCAATGGGATTTTCCCATGTATTTTCCCAGGAAACATAGATAGGACAGGCTAGAAAAGTAAGTGCCCTCCTAACCATACCCAAGCACTCCAAATTTGTTGACGATGTCCATTTTGCTCTTCGAGTTCATGGTGACCTAACCCTAACCCTAAGTGGAATTTTCCTCCAATAGGATTTTCCCATGTATTTTACCAGGAAACATAGATAGGACAGGCTAGAAAGGTCAGTGCCCTCCTAACCATACCCAAGCACTACGAATTTGTTTGTGATGTCCGTTTTGCTCTTCGAGTTCATAGTGACCTAACCCTAACCCTAAGTGGAATTTTCCTCCAATGGGACTTTCCTATGTATTTTACCAGGAAACATAGATAGGGCAGCCTAGAAAACTCAATGCCTTCCTAACCATACCCAAGCACTCTGAGTTTGTTGGCGATGTCCATTTTTCTCTCCGAGTTCATGGTGACCTAACCCTAACCCTAAGTGGAATTTTCCTCCAATGGGA